TCATGGAGGGTACTGATACTTAAGTGTAACTACATTGTATTTATGCAATACACACACAGGATAATTCATCTGCAGTTTGTCTCAGAAAAATCTAGCAATTGTAAAATTGTTTTGGTGCTTTAGAATCTCTAGACTGTATCATGTAATTGCAAGAGTACTCTGTGGAAAACTACAAAGGACAGGTGAGTTGCTGATCAGATTGAGGTAAGTATAGAGAGTCTATTCTGTGAATAACGGTACAGTGGTTAGCATGTTCACCTCTCATTGGGGAGGTATTTAGCAGCATAAATACAGTCTGCACTACTTTCCAAACAAAGTCAAAGTATATCAAAGAATATCAAAGTATCAAAAAATGTTAGGAGAGACAGCAGTGACTTTAATGTTTAGAAATGTCATATGACACATAAATATTTTCAAAAAAGGACAAGGTACAAGGAAACTAGTGACACAAAAGGTGATTATCAGCATTACAATCAAATACTGTAAAATACTTTATTTTAACTGGAATTAATTGTCGCTGAAAAGACATTTTGGCTGTTTTGTATAAAGTTTATTCTCATAAATTCACCAATTCATTCTTTCAGCAAACATAAATTTCAAGTGAAAATAAAGTACTTTTCCAGTATAATGGCCATGTTACCTTGGCAACTACTTGATCTCTGACATTTGGATGATAATATCTATGCCATACTTCAAATGGGATACCCCCACTTCCTCCACCTACGCCGCCACATGCTACAAAAAATATTTTAAAGTATGAACATGCTGAAATTTCAAAACATCTGAGTTGTAATTAAGCAACACAACTCTGTGAATAAGGATTATTTCAGAAATATTCAAAAACTTTAATTCCTGTTCTGTGAAATGTGATACTACACTAAGCATTACAGAGAAGGGGTACTGTAAACAGTTAAATTGTGTTACTACCGGAAATAGAGTTCAGGATGGAATGTCTCACTATTTGGAAGTTATTGGGTATTTTACATTCCTAGTATGCAATGTCAGCTGGGGTTATTTGCTCTTCAGGGAGTTGAGATGGGTGATAAGTTGGATTCAATATATGGCATACTAACAAGGGTAATAATGTGTAGTGCCCTTGGATTTGAGAGTTATATAATTTTGCCAAATAAAATGTATGCATCATACTTCAAGTAATCATACACTTAATATAATGTCATTATTACATGAAAATAAATTGCAGCCATTCAGAGAACATATGTTTCAAATTTGGCGTAATATTGTCAATTGCAATCACAAAATGGCAATCATTTTGACTAATATTTATTGCAATACACAGAGTGAAATAAACATCTTGTAGCCAAATATTACCTGCAAGTAGTTCACGTTGTATTGGTGATCTAGACGGCAATATTATTCTGTGTTTTTTGACGTCATTAAAGAGAGAATTTGGAAGGCACAAAGTTGTTCCTGTTCTATATGATGTCACAGTACCTAAAATAAAACATATTATAATTTATATTCTGTGTTGCCCTACGACAATACTAGTCTGATTAGACCATTAGTGATGGTTATACACTAAATGAACTATTCAATCTAGAGTCAATTCAATGACCCTGTATACATGATACATCGTTCATCTATAGTTCAGTGTTTATTGCATCAGTTTATTGATTAGTAGAGTTCAAATCATACCAGGGAGTAAACCAAAACAGATTAATCTCAACCCTGGGTGAATGCGTCACAGACCCAAAGGGGAAACCAAAATTATTGTACTCTCAAGAAGTGTGTCACAGACTAAAGCCACTGTACCCTGTGTGGCAGAGCTTTTTTTAAACAAAATAAATGAGAAAAAACAAAGAGAAAATGAATCAATCATCTAGAGTGCACTCTGAAACCTATACTTTGTATTTGTATTATATCTGGAGACAGGTGACCTAAAGTATTTACTGGTAATAAATAAATTAGTGAGACTATAGAATATTAGATGGTTAGTTTACCTTGTTGAATTGAATGCTGGGAAGGAAAATGATATTGCACAAAACAATCCGCTTCAGCCCATACTGTGTTATCCATCTGTGGCTGATTGCTGATGCCTTCAACTACAACTTCAAATACGTGTTCAACTAATACACAAAAAGAAGGTACTTTTCATGTAATAAACCAGTCAGAATAGTATAGTATAAAAAAGTATATGCAAAAATCATATTATTATTTTTTACATGCTATTATTAATATTACACTTCACAGTTAAGTTGTTACAAACATTAAATCACAGCAAGAAGAAACACACCAGTAAAAAAAAACTGTTAAAATGAAGGAAGAATTATTATAATCTCCTCAATGCAAGTACAAATAAATTTTCAAAAGATGGGAAAATTAAAACTTTCTGCAATGTGATGGAATTTCTGAAGTAATCCAAGTTTTAAACTAAAGAACTGTGCATACAAAGCAACAAATAATCATAGAAAGTTTTTAGAGATCTGCTAAAAGCCAGTTGCACATTTATATGCAGGCTAGTTGACACAATTGTTATGTTGCATATTGTCAAAGTTAAAAAATGTATTGTGACATTTAAGTACTATAGTTACAGCTGTGAGCAATGTTTATTGTTTGAACTATGTAAGGTAGCCAGTGCATGCAATGTATATGTAGGTAAAGACCAATCAGAGAACAGAACAATAATAAAACATTATTGTGTACATGGGCAGTTTTGATGACAAAGACACTATAACAAATGAGCATATATTCATAAATTTATGATAAATTACATACAAAATAAATTAGAATAACGGAACATAGATAGATAGAATACAAACAAAAACAACAAAAATTGTCATGTTTGCATGAGAAGACATAACATAATTGCAAAATATGAAGTAGGTAAGAATTGTGAATCAGTGAATTGTTTTCATATAATATTACATACCATAGGATTCTGTGTTCGTATCACGTTCAGAAAATATATTTCTTTCATCAGAAATGCATCTCCTGTTCAACAAATCAAATTATAGATTATTAATTCAAGTTCACCATGCCATAACATCAAACCAAACAAAGCAAATATAATTACAATAAAATCCTTGCCTTTCTAAGTAGTGTTCTGGTCTTCCAGTTTTTTGAAATGATTCTTCATTAAATTTTATTTGTTCCAGTGCAGCTACCTAAAGAAAATTGACAATAAAAATGTTACAACAGTAACCACCATAGTTCAGATGCATGTCCATATCAGGGAATCTTCAGTGATATGCATACATTAGCAGGGTCATGTCCAAATTTACATATAGTGCTACTGTAAACAGATCCACAATGGGTAACAACGTATCAACAGAACTCACCTGTTCATTTGATCCCAGCGCCAATGTTACATTCAGTTTTCCATGTTGTTTTCCAGTAAACGGATCCACAATAGGTAACAACGTATCAACACTTACAACAGGATACTGAAATGTACAACAATCTTAGTTAATTATAAAACAGTGTATTGACACACGATGAACAACAATCAGTAATCTCAATACTCAATGAGTTGGTAACATACAAAGTAATTTTAAAAGCATTCTAAGTTTTCCTACTTCAAAACCATGCAATTTTTGTGCTAATCCAAGCTATACAGCATTTCCATATGGGGCATAGGTTCCTCTGACCTGATTGTTTGTACTATTCACAAGTTATTTCTGTTGTAGGGCTCATTAATATTTGTACAACCAAGGGGGGAGGGTTTTTGTCCCAATCTATTTGGTTATTATGCAGCTTTCTGGTGATGTACAGTGTAAAAATGGAAGTCATGCTAAATGGTGTAGATGATTTGGTAATATATGTGTATATGTGTCAGTTCATGTAAACATGGTAAACATGTAAACACATGGTAGTTGGTTATATTGACAAATTATTTACCTTACTGTGTAAACTGTGTTATTTTACCTGCAAAGCTCCACTCAGTCACCTTGCATGAATGTCAAAATGTCTGAATGTTGCGATGAAAACCACATACTACAACTGATCGATGAAATTACCTGTGACTTCAATAATGTACTTGCAATTCTTCTGTCTCTGAATGACATATAAAACTGATGCAATGACAACTTGACAATACCAATCAGCTGTTAACAGAATAGATATATAATTATTCAAGACCCCATTTTTCTTGCCTCTTTATTGCGATTAGACATGCCAAACTGACGGACAGCGAAATTCATGGAATAAAAGTGCTAAGTCCAAATTGTATACGACATTGACAAACTTCAGGATGAAGCTGTAGGGATTTTGGTGGACGGCGACAGTGATGCCGACTTTGAGGGATTGACTTTGACAAAGATGGCAATGAACATGCAAATGGACATCTGAGAAGTTTTTTTCAAACAACTATGAACTTTCGTAATTTTTACTGTGTAAATTCGTAAATTATTATTGTTCATATATGATTGTTGATCCAATATTTGTCAAAACCAGAAATAATTTTATGCAGTTTAACCCATGACATTTTTATTAATTTTGAGTTCGCATGTATTGGGCATGTTTGTGGTGGGAAAATCCTAATTCAAATGAGTCCTCACTGTTGATTTTATTATTTCTGGTTTATTTGTTACATTATAAGCAATAAATTATTTTTGTTATACTTCTAATGTTGCATATTGTTCATTTATTTCCGTTGCATGTTTTCATTTGCCATTCTATTACCTGCCGCGCGCAGTTCAATCTGTGTGTTGTCAATTTTCGCGAGTTTCAATTTTTTTGCAGGGGATGTCCGGGCATACGCCCAACCCTATTTTTTGGAAATTTTCAATGTTCAGGCCCCAGAAAATTACGGTAAAATGAAAACAGCTACTAAATGCATCAAGTGTACAGTAAGAAGGTCACATCACAAATTATAGCTTAATTACTGCATTATGTTAAATTTAGTTTGGAGAATCCATGCTTGCTCACCAAAGTGTACTGTCAAGCAACTTGAGAGCTCACATCATTCTCCAAAATGGCTGATTATATAATTTTCAATAAATTGATTTCGCTAAAAATTTGATATAAAATGTCTCAGGTTTTTTGAAATGAAGTGCAGCATTTATCAACCAATTACTACACATACCAAGTAGTCTAGTTTAAGAAAACCATATCCTAGTTTATTTTATTTTTAAGTTATCAACCAATTGCTACACATACCAAGTAGTCTAGTTTAAGAAAACCATATCCTAGTTTATTTTATTTTTAAGTTATCAACCAATTGCTACACATACCAAGTAGTCTAGTTTAAGAAAACCATATCCTAGTTTATTTTATTTTTAAGTTATCAACCAATTGCTACACATACCAAGTAGTCTAGTTTAAGAAAACCATATCCTAGTTTATTTTATTTTTAAGTTATCAACCAATTGCTACACATATCAAGTAGTCTAGTTTAAGAAAACCATATCCTAGTTTATTTTATTTTTAAGTTATCAACCAATTGCTACACATACCAAGTAGTCTAGTTTAAGAAAACCATATCCTAGTTTATTTTATTTGAAGACTGTTTAAGGCTAGACTAAGTACATACCTTATCATCTTCTGCAGATGTTTTTTTATCCCATACTTCCACAACCATGAAGTTATTTTTTGTTCGTTCAAGCAAAGCATTAGTCAATAGAACTGGTGCAACCTTTGGGAAAAACCAAGTTATTAGTACTTCTTGTATGTAACTAAACATTGTGTACAAGAAGCAAGGTCACAGTATTCAGGTACTGCTTGACAATATCAACAAATAAAAAAAAATTAACTGTATTATCATTAGTTTCTTTTTATATGCATGATACATGACCTGAAACATTATTTCTTTAGGTGGGAGATAAATTGTATTGTATGATATATATGCCATTATGACTTGCCTTTATGCAAAATCACACCAAGATATTCAAGAAACGGCTTGGCACATAGAAAATAATAAATTAGTCACAAAACACATGCAGTAAACTACCATGTATGAAATTATGTTATGAACAAGTCAGAAGTACACTGGCATGCACATGCTTGAAAACAGTTGATGACATTCTGTGTTTTGTTGTTTTTTATTGGACGAAAATGGTCTGTTAAATTCCATTAAATCAAAAATTGACCAAAGATTTGTCTAAAATATGACAACAACTAAATTAATATTGGTTGACTGCTTCAACTGATGTCTGTTTAAACATAACATAACATATTACAAAATAACATATTACAAGGAAAGAATAGAAAAATAACCAGTAGCCATTAATGGTTGAATGATTAGATGTCTTACTTTCACATATTCTGAATCATGCTATAAAGAATAACACTTTCTACTAAAGTATCAAAATTCAAACACAGAATGTATTTTAAATTAAAAATTGACATTCCATACCTGTACAAAGTCATAATGTGGTTGAGATGTTCCCCAACATACACTAGATCGGACGACATCATTGGACCAAAATGTCCGACATAACAGATAGGTATTACGCACTGTTAAATCTCTCCCTAAAAACAGAGTAAATCATTTGATGGTCAAGCAGTTGCTTTTAAAGCTGCACACACTGTTCATAATGTTGTGTGAACCAGTAAACATTATGTCAATCAATCTACTCAATATCTGAAGATGACATACACATGTTCCGATTCAGTAATATGGTTTAGCAACAATGATGAATTGATTGCAGAAATCATAATCTGTTTTAGTTATCAAAAATACAGACACACTACATAAGGACAGACAAAAATAATCATCTTATGGGACCAAAAATCCAAATAAAGCATTTCATTTCATAATATACATATACCTGATTTTCCAATAATTCCTAATTTTGTAGGAGGAGCAGGTTGTGGTATTCTGTTACTAGTCTTGTGTGATCGAACACCATGTAAAGTGATATCTTTTCCTTCAGGAATCATCAGCAAGGAATGTAATGTCAGCGGCTGATACAGCAAAGAAAATAAATAATTACACCAACAATAAATGCAAGAAATCAATATTTCACTCTTCCAATCCGAGACAATCGAAAGATCAATGGTCTTGAATAATCAACATATCGATAGGTGTTATTTATACAGGATGATAATACTAAGGCTTTTAGACAGCCACCTGCTTTTCTGGTTATAACCCTGATGATAACATTGACACTATACCTCATATGCTGGAACATATGGCTGTACTTTCTCTTCAGGGATTTTAGACTCAATCTCTTTTGGATGGACAGGTGACTTCTCTTGTGAGGCACTCATGATTGGAGGATTTGTTATCGGTGCAATGGCCGTGCCTCTTTTCAATTCTGAGATTTTGGTTGAAGCTAATGATGCAATGAAATCTTTTTCATCTGATGCTAGTTCTATGGATACCTGACAAAAACATTAGCAAAAAATTAAGAGTATTGAAATAATAGTTTCAGGAATAAATAATATTGTGTTGCTATGGTATACATTTGTAATGTATAGTCACAGTTTAGTTGCATGATACACAGTTCACAAAAAATATTAAGGACTTACTTTGAGCTGACCAACATGTGGTTTGGAGTCGGTGTCAGTCGGACAAGCCAGCTCAGAAGATGTACTTGGCAGATTTTTGTCATTGATATTTAAATCAGCATTTATGATTAGGTCACTTGATGTAATGACTGAAAGTAACGGAATGCTGCATACACCAATTAGTGTAGGCTGTGTGAATACAAACAGAACATCAACATTACTAAACACTCAAATTGACCTGTAGAATAAGATAAGTGTTCATCAATTTTTGACACTTTCCAGTGATTTCAACTCAACCATTTTTTAAATATATAAAAACATTCAAAATATTGATGGAAAAAACTTGGGCTCCAAACTATCCCCAATTTACTTATGACAAAAGACCTAAACCTCTAAATGCTCAGATAACACTACAATATTACGATATCAGAAAAATGTACAGTTTATTTACACTGACCATGTGAAGGTATACTCACACTTTTTTGTCCTGATGTTCTAGAAAATATTTTAAATACAAGTAAACGTTTGCACCACTTATCAATCACATCGCTATCAAACGATACTGGAAATACTGATCTATGACTGAATGTCACCACTGTGAAGAAAAAAATCATCTTTACATATTATCTTGGCTATGAACTACTCAGGTGGCTTTACAACGATTTGAATAAACCCAGGGTTTCAACATATTTGTACAAGACTAGAGATGGAATTCAATGTTCTTAGTTGATACCAATATTATGATTCTATTCACTTCAGCAAAGTGCTTTTAAAATAGACAAAGAACATGCATAAAATAGATAATTAGCATGCAGATTAATTAATTAATTTGTATGGATTCATTAGCAGACATTTTACTTTGTGTGCAAAGTTTCAATCTTTTACAAACACAGGTTTAATGCAAAAATTTATTTTTCTGACAACTTACCTCCATCACTTGAAACCTTTTTAGAAACAATTCTCATAACCTCTGTTGCCATGGTATTTTCACTTCCATCATCCCTTGTGGGTGCAGCAACAGGGAACTTGTACTCCACAAAATATGTCCTACATTGATAATAAAACATAGTGTAAGTGTTGATAAGCTTTGCATCATTTAGGGACTGTGGCTAATCAAAACATTTGCACAGCAAATGTAATCTCTTTGTTGAAGTTCACAAGTATGAATAAAATATAAGTATAAAACACCCTAGGGCTATTTGTGAGCACAGTAGCATAAAATCTGTATCACAAGCCACATCCCTAATAGAAATCACACTGATTCTTTTTAAACAATTGAGAACTAAAAATTTACCATTTCTCATATGTGTAGATACTCTAATATAAGCCGCAGCTTTTAATATAAATTTTACAGTATTTGAAATAATCTTGGATTCCTCTTTCCGCCTAATGAAGAGATAACGTTTGATGTGCACATGTGCCTCTTACCATATCAATACCCAAGAATGAATGACATTGAGAACTTCACTTACATTGTCTTTATTGACTTAGATGGTCTTGGTGGTTTTCCCTTTGAATGACTCTTTCTCTTCACAGGTATTACTGGTGATTCTAATTTTAGTGTATCCACGGTAACTCTGGAAATGTGCACTTTCTCCAGTAATGCCAATCTTTCAACACTAATACCATTTACTTCAAATGCTTTGGATGATTAGAGGTTATATCGAGTTTAGAAACAGAATTCAACAGAATAATTAGTATCATTAACTTAAGAGCCATGTATGGCACAGTCCCCGTTAGTTATCAAATTTAAGATATATAGTTTTGTTTATAGTAAAATAAACATGTCAGGAATATGATTATGATGATTGTTTAACATTTAAATGATTGACATTTATCGTCAAATGAGTACTTGTCCACATTGAGAGATATTGCTCTGGAACAGCATCAATTAAAACAAAATCAGCCATTTTGAATACATACATATATCTATAACATGATGTATAATGAATATTAAAAATTTGAACATAATCAGTCGAAGCATGTCAGAGATATGGCTCTAGGAGCCCATTCATTAAAACAAAATGGCCACCAGTCAGCCATTTTGAATCCAATCTGAAAAATAAAATGACATGCATCAAGGTTCTATACCAAGTTTGAACAAATCCATCTGCAGAGAAAAGCTTAGTTTTGATGATTTTTCAGTACAAAAATGGCCGCCATTCGGCCATCTTGAATCAGATCGTGAAACAAATTGATGTGCATATGTATAATGTCATGTATGATGCATGTGTGAAGTTTGATTGTGATTGGTCCAGGCATTTCTAAGATACAGGTTCACACGCACAGATGCACGGACGCACAGAGGTGTGTCCGAACGGGGACTAAAAAAGAGGAATCATAGGTTCTACTGGGATAGGATGTAAATGAATTCATTGAGGTAGTTATTTCAGGTTTCAATCACAGCTACCACCATTTCCTACTTTTTTATGGTGCCCAACTTTATTGCTTTAGTCACATTCATATCGGCAAATATTTCCTCACAAGTCTAAGTCTAAGTAATGTTTACAACATGAATCTGGCCTTCAGTACTCAACCACTTAGATCATAACTGGTTTTCTAGCATCACATCAACTACATAACTCCAAAATCAACTTTGAGTAGAATAAAAACTGGAACTAGTCTTTGTCCTCTGGCGAGATCTCTGGACACTCAATAGTACCTCATATTTGGGTTACTTAATATATTACCTAATATAGCTTAGGTAAAGTCTTCCCTAATGCTTCAAACGACAAAAGATTATCCTCACCATTATGTACCACCATATAATAACATAACTCACAACCCAAACAGACAGAATCTATTACTACAATCTCACCTGTATCTTGTTCATCTATATGAGTACTGTCAAATGACACTCTAGATACACTAACTACTTCGGATTCACTGTCACTGTCTCCACCACTAGCTGCACTCAACTTTACTGGTGTATCAATACTTTTAAGAGATGATTTCCTTGAGGGTGGTCTCTGAAATCCAATCCATGAACACAATGTCAGTACACACATGTGAGTATTTATAAATTTAGACATTTAAGTTTATCTTTACTCAAATTTGATAAGGGTAGCAGGTGAGTTTTAATATGAAAGTAACATTACATGGTTAACACTTGACTGCTCAAGATTTGTTTATACAATAGATATCAACAAACAAAGATTATCCACAGAGGCAGTTAGCAGTCAGTGTGCTACGTAGATACAAAACATATTGAAAGAGATATTAAGAATCACGTAAACACAAGCATAGAAACTCAACTTGTGAGAAGTAAAGTTCATGTTCAGTAAAGCTATTTCAGTAAAAAAGTCACAAATGTATATAGACATTTAATAAAATTTGTAGTTTGAAATCATTTCAAACTTTTGATTTGTTTCATTCAGTCATTGGCTTCATTCAGTCATTGGCAAATATTAGCCTCCTTATAGAGTTAACCACAGTAACATTTCCAGCAAAATACATACAACATACAATTACTGTAAGACCACTGACTTACCACATTGGAAGGATCATCAATTGACATAGACCTTGAAATGCTTAACTTAGATTCAACGTCACTCAAGTCACTTTCACTGTCAGTTAAAACCTATATCAAAATATAACACAATTATTAAAACCTTGCTGCAAGTACAAATTCATCTGAGGCAAGTTTAATAAAATCAATAATACCACATTTATTTAGATTTTTCTAAATAAAAATAAGGGTTTGATCTTCCATGACGTTCGTTGCAAGATATTCAACAAAAACCTGTTTTGTCTCATTCAGTATATATGTTTTGAAGAACGATTACGTTTTGAAGAATAATTACTTTCAGAGGAATGTAACTATGGTAACTTTCAATTTTCTACAACAAATTAGCCAATCAGCAGTCTGCTCACAAATGAACTATACCTGATTTGTATGTTATGTTGACAAAACAAAACTGAACTAAGCATATCAAGTAGATGTTAAAACATCCATTCCAGTGATAGTAGGTAAATGGATATGCTGTAAATACATACAGTATACGCTTTATAATGTCTTGTTTTATGCAATGTGTTCAAATTACTTTGATACTTACAGCTTCCTTATAAAATAATTCTTCTATTATACTGCTATCATGCAGCGGATCATTGACATCACTTAGTATACTATCATGAGTTGAAGAAAAACTTGATTCCAATGATCGATCACCCTATATATAAAAAATAAAAGACAACATCATGTATTGTTTGAGGGAATTGGTTAAATAGATAAGTCAGAAACTTTGAAATAGGTTTAAAAGAACTCATTAGGGCAAACATTTCAATAGCTTTGATCACAAAATAGAACGATGTACCATATTTGCTCTATTAGAAGCACAGCCCAAATAGAAGCGCATATAAACCAAGAAGCACACTGGCTATCTACTGAATCATTAAAATATTGACAATACAAAAATCTAAATTACATAAGTGCATCAGCAAAATTCAAATGTCATGAAGTTATTACATAAGGGATATTATTACCTGCAGTTTCCTTAAAATATTGAGTTCTTTTTCATCCAAGTTATCGCCAACAACAAGATGAATAACTCCAGATTCTAGGTCATCCATAGAACCTTCATTATCTACATCCAGAATCTCTTTAAATAAATCACCAGTAGATGAAGTTCTGAAGAGATATAAACCAATATCAGTAAGTCACAATGATGTACTCCATACTAAATGTGCCTAGTAGTAACTGTCAGGTTACCAAGCATCAAAATAATATTATTGTAAGATGGAAATGTGCATAAACATGAACAGTATGAAATAACATGTTGCTTTGCTTTGCTTCACTAATACTTCATCATGTGACATGCAGCATCATATCCATTTGTTTCATTGTATGGAGTCTGGTTCTCCAACTTTTCTCCAGACATGAACAGAAATAGGTATGTGTGCATGTTATAGATCTGATATACTACAACTGTTGATAAGTTAATCAACCCTCCACTAAAAATCAACAACGAACCAGTGAAATGGCAATCGGAACATTGACTCATATACACATGAAGGTAGGAGCAATCTCGTTGGCATAAATATTCTTAGCTTTATAAATAAATTGTACCTGTCTCTCCTATGAGTGAACTCAGTCAGCGAGATATCAGTTCCATTTTGAGCTTTAGTAGAGTTGGCAGTCAACTGATCAGTTACTATTTCAGATTTAATCATTTCTGTACGAAGTTTAGTTCCACGATCCAACAAACTTGACAATACATCATCTTGTTTGTGCTGAATCCTGCCATCTTGGACCACTCTCTGCTTTCTCTGTATGTTGACATCTTTGACTGGACTGTCATTTACCGACATTCTTTCTTCTTTCACTGGACTTTGTACTGTAATATTTGTTGGTGACTCAGTTCGACCTGGCCCAACAACAAAGCTGTATTCGTCATCTACACCAGTCAGAATAGGACGGCTTTTAACTTCCTAATAAATGCAAAGTTGTAATACTATTATACAAAAGCTAAAATTTGAATAAACAACAGAATTTCAATTTAATTGTTTTTGTATCACTACTTTAAATCACTGTGGAGAAACTACAGTGAACAGAACAAAGCTGGGGCTGTTATAAACATTTTTAAACCAAAATGGATGAATTCAAATTGACCAATCCAGAAACTCAACATTAACCAATCAGCAAAGGCTTCGTTTTGAATAGGGGGAGGGGGGTTGCAATCATCATGCCATGTGAAGTCGTGCACGTACATTATGGATGTAGGCAATGCTGAGCTCTTGAACCAATCATTAATAAATTTGAATTTAAATGAAAGCTAATGATCGATATTTACAAGTTTTATGTTTATAAGCAAAGAGCTAGCTTTGTGCCCTTCCTTGTAGTGCATACTTTTACTTATTCGTGTAATTTTTAAGCCTTCAGACTTTTTCCTTGCGCACACTTCTTATTGATTGACATAGCTGTTAACAAGTCTAAGACCAGTGTTACATTGCGTTGTTTTTCCACAAGGAAACACAGTTGAAAATAACACATACCTTATCAGTTGACTGTAAAGAAACAAGGTGTTCTTTAGGATGAATGTTGGGTACTGGAGGTTGCATCATTTCCATATCACTGCTACCTTTTGCATCAAGACTCATATCAGTTGTAGGTACAGAACTACAACTATCAAATGTAGCTATAAGATATAATACATTGATATCTCAGCAAACACTACATTACATTATAGAGCAAATACAGTATCTAATGATGGCATTCTGCTAAAAGTATTAATGAATAATTATACTTACCCATGAGAGGCTCAAACACTATAGATATTTGCAATTCTCCAATTTTCTTTTCACCAACATCAATAGAATACACAGGAAAAAAACTAATAAGTTAGAACAAAAAACAAATGCAAATTATATTATTATAACACATATTTATAGCATGACACAGTCTCCATACATATGTATTGTAAGATAATACAGGATTGTATGTACATGTATGTGTAAATGTAATCAGTGCTTGGAAAGATAAAACATTAGAATGGCCCATTTTAGATTTCTTTTTTTTGTTTGTTTAAATCTTTGTTCAACTGGTTTACTCTGAGACGTATTCATTGCTGTTAATTATTCATGTTTTGCAGTGACATTATGGAAGCCGGAGCGGAACACTTCTAAATAAGGAAAGTACGTGTGTGCTTGCGCAACGGATTCTACATGTCATATCATGGGTGTGGAACAGGTCAGATCAAATGCTGCCTTTTTTATTGGTTGGCCGTCTGCTTATAATTCATGTTACTTATTAGCACATTTATCACCTTAAAATCACAGTGACAATTTTAGAGGGTGCGGCGGAATAGACCAGTCGTAGAATTTTTTGATCAACACAAAAGATTCTACAAACATGTTTTTGAAAGAGATTATCATATAAAACAATAAAATTGTTATGACAGGGACAGTTTATCTAAACATATAAAATGCTGAAACGAAATCCATCTATGCATGCCTAAGTTATCTCTCTTGTAGAAATGCTTCATATCAGTGCATTTTCCGGTTAAGTGCTCTGTTCCGGGTAATTTGACTTTTTGTACAACTTTTTGTACAATGATGTATTGTTCGCATTTATAGCATTTTCCAAAGCTAATCTGAATGCTGTGAGTGTTGCTTATAACAACGCTTTCATGTTATATTTTACGTCAGTCGCAACTTGAGTATTTCTGAAACTCAGTTTGTAAATGTGCAAGTCTAAAGTTGGCTTTTACACAAGATTGTCTATAGAAATGTTGAGAGACAGCAACTACTAGAAAAGGGTCTTTCCTGTTATTTCTAAGGCACACTGTTTTTCACTTCTGTTTTGCTTTTGTGCTTTTTAGTAACTTTTTTTGTCATGATCTGGTTCTCGAAATAAAAACTATTACCAGGTATTATTATTATTTTTATGACTAAACTGACTCCCAGATCTTGAATCAAACCATGATAGAAATGTATGTGTACATGTATCTCATGATGTAAATACAGTCATTCCAGGTACATACACATACATGTATCTCATGATGTAAATACAGTCATTCCAGACACATACATGTATCTCATGATGTAAATACAGTCATTCCAGGTACATACACATACATGTATCTCATGATGTAAATACAGTCATTCCAGGTACATACACATACATGTATCTCATGATGTAAATACAGTCATTCCAGGTACATACACATACATGTATCTCATGATGTAAATACAGTCATTCCAGGTACATACACATACATGTATCTCATGATGTAAATACAGTCATTCCAGGTACATACACATACATGTATACAAGGCACAATTTGAAACCTGTCAACAAACAAGCTGCACTCTAATTGATCTGATTGTTAAGTGTTATGGTAG